GGCGGCTAAGGTTTGGGAGGAGGGAGAGAAGGGGGCGACGCACAGGGAGAGAGGAGAAGGAGATGCTAGGGAGAGAGGAAAGGGATAGGGAAGCCCTTAGGCTGTTCTTTTTTAATCCCAATGATTACATTGCCTCTCTATTTATAGTCCTAAGGAGACTTACATCTTAAGTAATCTAACGAGGAAAGTCCTTATAGATATGGACTCCTCCCGATCTACCTAATCTGAACCGATCCTATTCCTATTCCCTTTCCATTATTCACGATCTCCGAATATGGATGTCGACGGCGGCGGGGAGCCGCCCTCACGGTGCGCGCCCTTCCCCTTTAGGTGGCGCCGCTGCCCCCCTTGGCGGCTAGGCTGGATGTGTCGCCAGCTCCCATCTAGACCCTCCACTGGACGTATGACACAAAAAAAATCTTCCATTAAAATAAAACTAATTAATGACTCAATTTCTCAGAAATACTGCACAATCCGTCTCCCATACCATTTAATTCATATTTATATTTAATTTTATACATATTTCTTCTATCTATCTATTAAAGAGTGAAATGTTTTTTCTGCCGACTTTTTTTTCTCTCAAACTGTCCTCGCTTCATCCATTTCTTGTATGTGATTTAAACTCATGATTGGTGCTCACACACGTTAAAACAACTCACGTACAACAATGTTACGGAGTCTAATTCCAAGGCGTTCGGTTATAATTATGTTGTAACTCATGGCTGTATACTCCATGTCTCGTATGTTATCTTGACTCACATTTGCTCATATGAGTTAAAATGACCGATGCCAACGATGATATAGAATTCTATTCCAATATATATGGAATTCTGTTGTGGTGCACAGATACGTTGCTAGTAAAAAAAATTGACACATAACTATATTGATGATACGAGAAAATAGCATGGTTGACTAGTAAAGTTGGAGTTTTGATGGAAATTTTTTTACTGCATGTCGGCAATAAGAGGATTATCTGATTTATTTATCAATGTTCTATCATCGACAAATTCTTCCCCCTGTATCAACAAGAACAGTGTTTCCAAATACCTCATGTAGCGCTACCCATACGGCCATACCGGCTAAAAAATAATTTTCTTTCAATGCATGACGTGGTAAAAAAAAACAGTTCACGACTTTATACCTTTTTATTACTATTTCCTATCACGTGTTTGGTTCTGAGAATGGATCAGTCAGTCCCCTATTTCGAGGGAGTTTGGATGGGATTCCCGTAGGCCCTGTTGGATAACAGTTAGATTAACTATAATAATTAAAGTGTTTGGATTCCTAAATTATTGTACTAGATAGATTATTCTTGGTTCAAGTGACAAATGCTCATAATCACCAAGAAGCATATTTGAAGTGGCCGTTATGTTTCAAGTGACAAATGCTCATAATCACCAAGAAGCATATTTGAAGTGGATTAGTGTTAGCGCCGTTAAATCCTAAAATTAATCCCGAAAATGCGAGCACACATGTCAATTCTTGGTTGAAATGACAAATGCTCATAATCACCGAGAAGCATATTTGAAGTGGATTAGTGTTAGCGCCATTAAATCCTAAAATTAATCTAGAAAAATGCAAGTACCCAGTTAAGTTGGGGACTTGAATCCGGGTGGGCAGATTCTACCACAAGTAACCCAACCAGCTGAGCCAGGCTCAGTTCACAAATCACCTTATAAACTAGTATGTTTGGATCAGAGTTATATTATTTTCGCTGATTATTATAATCGTTGTGGATCAAAGAGGCCCTTAGACTGTTCATAGCGTGTGATCGGTGTTAAAAACAACAATTCATGTGTCATCCCAACACCCATGTCTATGAAACTTTTGGCACACAAAGTTAGTCACCGATGCTCATGCGAATGCGTCAGAACCCCCACCCTCTGTGCACATGCTATGAAATTATTTTAAATTTAGCAAGCACCAAGATTTCTACTTGACTCGTTAAGATTTTCAAGTTTGACATCACCATGTGCAGTGTGTCTACCAGAGGCTTCAAGCATCTCTCCTTTCTCAACACCGATATTTGTCCACGCTCTGGGTAGTCTTAGAGCAACTTCAATAATCTCTTTATATCCTTCCATAGTGATAGAAATAGAGATCTTGGTAGAAAAAAAATATACGTTGTATCAATACATAGACTTTCTTGTAGCTACCAAAAAACACCATCCATTCTTTGAAGGTAGGGAGGTGCAACATATCCCCCTATCAGTCGATCCATGTGTGTTGTTCTAGAGCATGGACGTTTTTAGACAAAAGAGGAGATGAGGAAGAGGAAGAGGAAGAGGGAATGAAGGGAAACAACTTGAGGACTACGATTCTAGCTGGCTATGTATCATTGTACCCGCACAGCCCTTGGCTGCCTTGCCTAGCACCATGCGAGGAGCACGCTGGACCGACTCGCCTCGCCTTGCCATTGTCTGCCACACCACCCTTGGCCAGTAGTGGCGCTCCGTGGAAAAGGGAGCTCCCGATGCCATAGGAGGAGCGTGCCAGGTGGAAAGACTAGCGTCATCGCCATTAAGGGTGGAGAGCCGGGGATCCAGGGGAAGGGAGAGTGCCTGCACGCGAGGATCTAGGGGATGATGTGTGAGAGAGTCAAAGAGAGAAGGGGGAGGGAGCGTTTGAGAGATGAGACAGGAGTAATGCCAATTGAGAACAAGAGGAGGAGGGAGTGGGTACAAATCCTTTAGAAATCTATTTTTAAAGATAGATATATACGAACAGCTTCTTTAACCTCTTGTCTCCTAAAATCATTTATAGAGATTATTCACAAACAAAAAAAATCATTTATAGAGATGGTCCAATAAAAGTCTCTCCTCTGAAAATAAAAAACACATGTCTTCTAAAATGGTTTATGAAGCAGTGACAACACATATTTAAACTTGAATTATAATTATATTATTTTATGTTCCCGTTACAACGTACAGGTATAATCCTAATTTTGAGAAAAAAATATAAAACCATGGTGTGGTGGAGCATCACCAGCATGGAAAAAGCGTTATCTACGTTAGTCTCGTGCCATGCGATGATGATTTAGGGTGTGTTTGGTAGAGATCTAGATTCTTCTAGAAACATTTAGATCCATATTCTCTCTAGAAAAGTTTATGTACCGAATCATAATCACTTTGTGGAACTGTTTGGCTAGCTCGTCGCTAGATTCTTCAGACTAGATCTAGAATCAGGAGAAACTATAGGTGTGTTTGGTAGGGATCTAGATTCTCTTAGAAAAATTCAGGTCTAAATTCCCTCAAAAAACGTTTCATGTGATGAATCACCGTCACTTTGTGAGATCATTTGGCTGATAGGATTCAATTCACATTAATATATATATATATATATATATATTTGTTAAAAATCATATAAATAAAAACATGCTTCAAAAAAAATTAAACATTTTATGGGCAAAGAATAACTTAAACACAACTCATTTTAATTTGCTACACTAAAAAAGGATTATTACTGAAAAAATAAAATTGGTAGCCCATAAGCGTGGCAAAGAAATCGAAACGATTCAGTGAGAAACCACCATTTGCTGGTTTCTAACTTCGCTAAAAAATCGTTTCGGATCTAGGCGGCACAACACCATTTGGAGGCATTTCTAGTGATTCACATGAGAAATGAATCTGATTCTCATGTCGAAACGAGGCTTATGTTTCTCTCATTATGGCATTTAGTAGAGATTCTAATAATTTTTGTGAGAATTTGAAACGTTTCTCGCTATCAAACACAACCTCGTGTGGCCCTGTCGCTGCTAACCAAAGGTGTGCCATCATGCTTACTTATAGAGATTGTAATTGTATTGACCATTGATTGCACGGAGGGCTTGCATATACGTGCAATGTCCTATACCATCTATCCACAATCAACGGAGGATCAGCCGAGTGATCTCAACCACCCACGGCGAAAAGCGCCCTCTTGAAATGACCACAAGGAACCCGTCCATTCCATAAACAACTCGGTGTGATTTTGTACACCAAGTTCATGAACAGATAACAAATTCATATTGATTCGGATGCTTCAACCAAGATTACAAATAATATTTGGTCGAAAAGCTTGAGTAGGCTAAAAAAACAGTACCACATTATAAGGCATACATAATAGCATATGTGGCGAAAATGGTATCATGCATGATTTGGCCGTGCAATGAAACGGTCATATAAAACAGAGTAGCTAATAGTTTCTATAAGGTTGGCTGGTACTCCTTCAGTTCTAAATTATAAGTCGTTTTGAATTTTTTCGGTACATTCGTTTTGCTATGTATATAGATATATATATATATATAGATATATAGCAAAATGGATAAACCAAAAAAGTTACAGCGACTTATAATTTGAAACGGAGGGAGTAATAGTTAGGTGTTGGTTCGTTCCATTAATGCTACTATCTTGATGCACGTCTTTGATAAGTGGATAGAGATAACTTGGAAGCTAAGGAAGTGTTGAACATGGTGTGTCGGTTAGAAAGATTCTTTTGAGGCCTTGTTTGATAGATCTACAATAGATTTTATTTTTGTCACATACATACAATAATTTTTTATATATACAAATAATACAAATGATAAAAAAGACGTCCGTAAAGATAATTCTTCGTCGTCAAAAACCTTGGAAGGGAGATGTGATCCGTCTCTGTCTCTCGGATTAGCCCTACGCGGCGGCGAGCGCACGGATCATGCGAGTAGGCTGCCCGCCAGCTATACAGCGGCGACGAGTTCTTTTTTTTTTTGACAATAGCCGGCGACGAGTTGGACCCGTCCAACCGAACCGAAGAGCAACCCCTGGCGACACGGCACGTGGCATGGCGCTGGCCCACACCCACCACAAAAACCCCTTGGGCGTTGCCGTTGCGCTGTTTGCGTTCGAGTTCACGCTAAGCATCGTCATCTCCCAACAGTTCATCATCAGTGTCCCTCGCTCCCTCGGAAAACCCTCTCCTCTCCCCTACCCTGCCCGGCTGCCCTCTCGTCTCCCCCTCGCTTCGATCAACCGAGACCCGCCGCCATGGCGAGCGACGAGGAGGAGGCGTGCGACTACTTCTACGCCGAGGAGGACGCCGCCGCCGGTCTGGAGGAGGATTCTTCGCCGCCGGCCGGCGCGGACTACTGGGTGAGTGGTCCGACCCGAACCCTGGGGCGCCCCGGCTCGTCGCGGGGATGATAATTGTGTGTTTCCCGGGTTGGGATTTCAGCGCCGGCGAGATCTGGGAGGACCTCGCCGATCGATTCCAGAGCCGCCCTGCGCACCCCGATTCACCAAATCCGTCGTCGCAAGAAAGAAAATAGGGGGTGTCTAAGTAACCTCTGTTATCCCCAACCTGCGCGCTTCAAGTTGTGCTATGCGCTAATTCTTGCAAGCCTGGCTCGCCCAAACCGGTGCCGGATGTCTTCAAATCCTCACCGGATCGACTTAGGGGCTTGGGTTGTTATGGTTTATTTCCGTGGGATGTATCCGTGTCGTTTTGGAATTTGAGGGCAGTGAAACAACCAAATTCCTGCCTACTTCTTAGTTGTAAGATATAAGAACTGCTAGATTCGATCAGAGTACCTGTCTTTCACTGTAAAGTGTAAAGTGTAGTATCTAATTTTGCCCAAAGTAGTGGCCATTGCTCATCAAATTCTTAAGTTTGCCAAAGAATTACGAGATGCATGCTGTTCACTTATTCTTCTTTTTTCTTAAAAAACTCAAAGTTCGATTTACTTAAAAACTGGAAAATACACAAGCTTTTGTTTACCCTTTTGTAGATTTATTACCACTAATATAACTAAACAAGCATTCACTGTAACTTGATAACTTCCGAAGGCATGTTATAGCAAGCAATCATTCATTTGTTGTAGTGATATTAGTTCACTTCTCATCAGCTGATGCCTGATGGCAGATGTTTAATCTATGGTGTAAACAGCTGTTTTTTCTTGTTTATTTATAATAGTGGTCTTGTTTTGTGCAATTATATATACGTACCATTTGGCATTGTTTGTGAGGTACAGATCAGTGGATTGCACCCAAAACAGAGAGTTTGTTTCCCAAAGAAGATTCTTTATTTGTTTTAATTAACTAGATTCATCCATGCTGTTTTCATACTGAACTATTTTCTAAAGAAACATGTTACATGGATAATTGTTGTTGGTTGTTGCAGGCTATCACACAAGAGACCGTTTCCGCTGCACAGGTAATGAACAGATTTAACCATTTCTTAAGTGTTAATGTTCATTGTTCAGAACTTCAGATTATGCCTGGCCTACCCTAATTTTTATCAACTACAATTTTCTACTAACCGACCTACAGAAACAAGACCTGTCTACGGTGATGAATTTGCTCAACATAAAACAATATCAAGCACGAGCCCTCCTCATCCACCACCGGTGGAGGATCGATGGCATCTACGATTCCTTAGACAAGGGGCGAGAATGCATGCTCAGAAATGCAGGAATCGTGCTGCAGGAGAATAATAGCATGGCGGCTGCTGGCTCAACGGCAGCATGGGGAACCGTGACCTGCAAAGTCTGCTTCGAGGACTTCTCCATGGGTGCTGTTTAGACCATGGACTGTGGGTGTCGGGTTTATAAACCCGGGGTCCCTCATGTGTCTATTTTCCAACAAAAACTTAGCCCAGCAGACGACGTTGCGAACGACGTACAACTCCTGGGTCGGCCCAAATATCTAACGACAGGCCACAAGGGCGATCCAGTCTCCAACCGGAAGGCCTGGCCAAGGAGGAACGACGCTCGCTTCCGACTCCGGCCCGCCTAAGAAGGAACGACGCTCGCCTCCGACTCCGGCCTGCCTCTCCGACCGGAAGGCCTGGCCAAGGAGGAACGACGCCCGCTTCCGACTCCTGCCCGCCTCTCTGGCCGGAAGGCCTGGCCAAGGAGGAACGGCGCTCGCCTCCGTCGCTTCCGACTCGGCCTACCTCTCGACCGGAAGGCCTGGCCAAGAAGGACCGGCGCTCGCCTCCGACTCCGACCCGCCTCTCTGACCGGAAGGCCTGGCGCTCGCCTCCGACTCCGGCCCGCCTCTCCGACTGGAAGGCCTGGCCAAGGAGGACCGGCGCTCGCCTCCGACTCCGACTCGCCTCTCCGACCGGAAGGCCTGGCCGAGAAGGGACGACGCTCGCCTCCGCCTCCGACTCGCTTCTCCAACCGGGAGTACATCGAACCTCTGCTTACAGCTCTTCTCCGACCGAGAGGCTGGAGCCGACTGGGGAACGACCGACCGGGGATGCCCGCTCGGTGGAGACCCAGGATACGGACAGAGCAAGTAAGGCAGGGCGCTCCAGTCAAACATGATATCAAGGACCGTATCCTGCACACCTGTAGGGCAGTACTGTCAGGCCATGTCAGAAGGATGCACCGCAACCTTCTAGACATGTCAGAACATGAACAGTGTTGTGGACGCCGACATTTATCATACAGTATGGTAGACACCGATATTTGCTATACTAGAAGAAGATGATGGAGCCTACCACATGCATATGAGCAACAACAGTGTTGTGGGCGCCGACAAACCGTCTTGTACCCGACGGCGTGGGCAACAAGACTAGGTAGTACACACATTCTCTTTCTCTCTCTCACACTCTCTCTTGTAAAGCCACCCCTTCATCTATAAAAGGGGATACGCTCTCTCCAAAACAAGGGAGGGTCGATTCACATAGACAACGGGTCGGACGATCGATTCGGACGACCAACGATTCCAACGAACAACATACGGATCATTCCGATTCTCTCTGCTCGGCTCTAGAACTCTAAAAAGCCGAACGGAGCAACACGTAGCGCACGTCGGAGCTCCCGTCACTCTTAGCCCTTCAGTCCGGAGTCCGACCGGACCTCTGTTACCCCTATCTTACTCCCTCTCGTTTGTAACCCCAGAGCAAACTTCGAGCACCTGGGCTCAGGAATAAAGTCACCGACCGACTTAAACTGAACGTATGGCACGTTGCCTGAACCAGTATAAACCCTATGTCATTGAGTGTTAGGTCACATCCGATCACAATGTACGATAAAACTACAAATATTTACGTGTTGGTCACTTTCTGCACAGACGGTGGGCATTGCTTCTGCAATGATTGTATGTTTCCACATTCCACCTCAGTGTGTTTACCTTTTCATCTGTATAGATGCCTTAATTGATATGAGCTTATTTATTTATTTTTGGTATGTGAGTTTCTCTATGAAGTTTCATCTGCCAAATATATAGTTCAATTCCTTGAGCTTTCAAATAAATGAATAGATGATCAAAAAAGATTTCCTATATTGATGTCAAGACGCTAGTAAGTTTGCTTACCATAGTATGACCACTATTTTTTTTTCTTAGGTTCGACGGGGCATTTCCACGCCGCAGTAGAGAGTGGAAAAAAGCAAATTCGGTGCATGGAGGTCAAGTGCTCGGCTTTCTGTGATGAGAACCTAGTGCGGTTTCTCCTTGGCCAAAAGTATCCAGACATAGCCAAGCCAAGCGGTTCAATCGCTTCCTGCTTGAGTCCTACATTGAGGACAACGCCTCTGTGAAGTGGTGCCCCAGCACCCCAAACTGTGGCCATGCCATCCGCGTGGGCACCGGCGAGCGCTACTGTGAGGTGGAATGCCCCTGCGGCTGAAGCTTCTGCTATAACTGCATGGCACATGCGCATTCACCTTGCCCGTGCCCCATATGGGAGAAATGGAATGCCAAGCGCTCCGAGGGAGAGAACATCAAGTGGATCCTCGCCAACACCAAGAGCTGCCCCAAATGCTTCAAGGCCATCGAGAAGAACGGCGGCTGCAACCTTGTCCGCTGCAAGTGCGGCCAGTGTATGTGGTATGTATATTGTTGGCACTCTTACACTTCATGCACTTTTGGGCGGGCAAGCATGTTATAAACTTTCGGTGAAAACATGTGAAACTCAGCAACACCCATGCCATGGGTGCATGTTGGAGGAGATTATTGGCTCGTTTCAAATTGGATTGCTGACCTTTTTTTCATGGCGCAGTTGACTGGGCGGCGGAGGTACCGGCATGGATCACACGTGGACCAGCATTGCCGGCCACAGCTGCAACCGCTACAAGGAGGAGAGCCGTGGAAAGACGGTGGACACCAGCAGGGAGCAGATGCACGGTACAAGCACTACCACGACCGGTTCAAGATCCACGGCGACTCGTACAGCGTGGAGAAGCAGAAGCTGGGGGCGACCATCGAGGAGCGGCTGCGGCTGCTGGAGTCGGACCAGGAGCGCCCGCTCGCCATCCGCGACGGCGATTGGCTGACCCGCGCGCACCGGCGGCTGCTGGTGTCGCGGCAGGTGCTGTCGCGGTCGTACGTGTTCGGCGGCGGGAGCGAGCTGCGGACGCGCCCGCCGGCGACGGCGAAGCGCGCGGGCGCGGCAGCCGAGCGGGAGCGGGCGAGCCCGCTGGGCGTGGCGCGGAACCTGTTCGAGGACCAGCAGGAGCAGCTGGAGCAGCACGTGGAGCACCTGTCCAGGTCGCTGGCGGAGGGGGACGTCGTGGCGGGGACTCCCGAGGCGGAGATCGTGCGGCAGAAGCAGACGGCCGTCACGCGCCAAGACCGTGGAGCGGCTGTGCGGGGAGATGTACAAGTGCATCCAGGACGCGCTGCTCACGCGGCTCGTCGAGCCCATGAGCATCGCGGCCTACAGGCCGGACGGCCCCGACCGAGCCAAGGAGCTCGCGGCCTGATCAGGGAGGGGGCCGTCCATTTTTTTTTACTTGCGGGCCACATTTTGGCTGCGCCGGCCGGCCCGCCCAGTGTGCCAGCAGATGCATATACAGCGTGCCGTGAAATGATTTTAGGGTGTACTGAAGTAAAAGGGGTCCGACCTGGGCACATTTAGTTTAAAGCTTATTCATCTGTCTGGTAGAGCATATGAGCATATTTTCAGATTTTTAATCGCTGCATCGCTGGAGAAATAGTATCGGTCTGACCTGACCTGGTGATGTGAACCGGAGGAATGGAGTCGGAGGACCATCTGTAGGCCCTTAAGCTGTTAAACCAAACACAACCGACGAACAGTTTCAATACATTCCAACCACACTGTGGTACATTTGGAAGGCCAGAAGCGATCACCGATTTCAGAATAAACCATGGCAGGTACACAATGCGGTGGCGGCGTGGACATAACATCTTCCTCGCTAATCACAGAAGAACAGGAACAAGAGCAAACTCAGCAACGGCGCCGCTCGTCTATAAATGGTAATAATGTCTCTTTGGATTGCAGGAATGATAGAACAAGACGATCAGGAAAATCAAGTATTCAAGGTGTTTGCTCTACCAACACCGCCGCTGTATAGAGTCCTGCTACCGGTGCTATTGCCAGGCACCAGATGCTACACCGACGCGTCAACAGCGCCAGACTCCCCTATGCAGGTCACAAGACAGGCAGGCCTTGGAATTTTCATCGTCACCACTCAGCTCCAGACGTCTACGGCCATAGACATCAAGGCCAAGCTGACCAACTCAACCTCTGTGATTATGGCGGAAGCTGCCGCTGTGGCACTAGCTGCACCGATCGTCTCTGGACTCAATATCCAGAACCCGTTCTTCCTTTCGAACAACCAAGAGCTGGTGTCTTTCTTCGACGGGTTCGACCACACAACTCCACCACAATGGGAAATCAAGCATTACACTCAGAGCTTCATAAATCATACTTCTATCAATAATGCCAAAATCTTCAAAATCTCGAGGAGACTAAACACGACAGCACATGTACTGGCCACGCAGGCCCTCCACGATTCCTCTAGGGGCCCCTTCGAATGCAGTTTTCTTGTACAAACCGTGAACATGTACCCAGCTGCCCCTCCTTGGAGGCACTGAACTTTGTAATGGGTGATGGCATCACCCTCATTGCAGCTTCTTGCTGCTAATAAATTTGCCTTTGATAAAAAAAAAGCTGTTAAGCATCTCCAGCAGCCCCAAATGCAACAACCCCAATATTTAGGTATTTGAGAAGTGCCCTATTTCTAATTTTAAGGGTTATCTGGAGAGAAGCTCCAGAGTTGCTCTACCCTAATAATTGGACCCCCGCTTTCTGCCATGGTACATTTGGATTGTCATGTGAATTCAGCCCAAATTAGAACAAGCCAAACCCCTGGTCCCGTCTCTAGATTAAGCAAACAACTAAGATCTTCCGGTAGGACGAAGTTAGCCCGTGACCGGTCACGCGCTCATGGGAGCATGCGACCAGTCTTCTCCTGTCACTCTCCCTCGGCAAGACTCCTCCTCCCTTTGCCGATGCCCCTGCTCCTCTCCACTGTGACTCCCCTCCTCTCCTCTCCCTGCTACGCTCGGAGGGGCATGACGCTGCTGCCCTAGCCGGTACTGCTGCTGGCCACATGTTGCCGCTGGCAGGCGAGCTGATTGGCCACGTGCCGCCACTGCCGTCCCTGGCCGGGTGGGCGAGCTAGCTGCCACTGCTGTGGCCTGGGCTGGAGAGGGTCGCATGGGAGAGCGAGAGGGTCGCGCCATCGGCGCTCGGCGCAACGGTCGCGTGATTGCTTTTCCGCTTCCGGTAATGCTAGGGTCAAGGCGTCCGCCTGTCCTTTCCGGGC